TGATTATCACTGTGAAAAAAAATCACTGTGATACCATTTTATTGTTGATATGCGCTTCTGACTATCCACGCTGCTGATTTATTTCATGCTGCTGATTTATTTCATGCTGCTGTGTTCATTTGTACTCATCTGCTCACACAGACTCATGTTCGTGCTGCTGTTGTTTGGTGCATTGTTTTTGTACTATTAAGTGTTTAGTGTATTCTTAGTTTAGCATATTTCTTAGTTCATATCTTACATCTTATTACTGTTTTTCTTTACAATTTATACTTTTGTTGGATGTAACTGGGACTGTGCGTACACAATTTTGTTACACCACATGTACCACATGTGGTGCAACTGACAATAAAGAACCTTGACTTGACACCACTGGTCCTATTGAACTGTTTCATTGTTAACGTCAAAATCTAAGCTAGGTGCAGCTATGACCAATCTTACTGCTCCATAGAAAGTAAGAAGGTAAAAACAGCCAGACACGGATTAAAGAATCATCTGTCAGTGTGAGCACTACAATAAAAGCAGATATCCAGAGTATTTATTTGGTCTGGAGCATTCAGGTGAGCACCACACACTGACAACAAGGAAATAAATATTCAGTGACAATGTAGAGGCAAATGTTGCATCAATATTGGAAAAGTTACAAGACAGTTCATGAACAATGAGAGTCCATCTATCTATAGTGAGTTTAACATGAACAAGCAGAAAATAGAACTTTACAGCCAATTCAAACCAAACGTTAGACCACAAAATGCTCAGAGAATCTAGAAAAGACTCACGAGCTACAATTCAGACTTCACAGGTCTTAGTTGGAATGTTACATTTAAATTCTATTTCATAGAGAAAAAGCCTAAACAAGTGTGATGTGTACAGAAGAAATGCCTCATCTTTTGAAAAAAAAATAAGACGTCACAGCTTAGGATTGCAAAATAACTTATGAACAAACCACAAGACTTCTGGGATCACGATCTTTAGGGAAATGAGAACAGTGTGGCAATGTTTGGCCACAATGTTCAATGTTTAGAGAAAACCAACCAACATGGTCCTTACACAAAGCACTGGACGCCTGGTGGTTTGGGGATTATCTGGCTGTTTCTAGTCATTAACCTTCCATACGCAAATTGTCCCTTGGCATTAACGACGGGAAGGGTAGTCTGAGATTGTCATCATTGTATGTTCCCATACAATGGCAGAATTACTGTAGTTCTTTGCATCTAAGCCATCACACGTGAGATACACCCAGGTGGAGCAGTAAGTGCCTGGGGAGCGATAATCAGTAGGTGTCTTGCTCAGAGACACCACGAAATGTGGGAATGGTTGGGAATTGAACCGCGACTTTCTGGTCCCAAGCCCTACCTCTATCCCATCTCAGGAAAGGTTGTTCATCTTTGGTAATGCCCACAGAAGTGTGCTCAGTGTGTTTACACACAACAAGCTGGAAGTGCAGAACGAGCTGGACTGTAACAGCAACTGGTCAGAGTTTTATGGCTCATGTTTCTCTCCATATTTAATTTGGACAGCCCACCTTCACGCTCTCATTCACTTTGGGATGTTTACTCATGAAATTGATTCAAAACTAAGCGCCATCAGAACTTCCTGGTTTATTAAAATATTTTTGAGTCAAATGTGTGGTCATCTCAAAATCATGCCATGCAACAGAACAGATTATGAAGGAATGGTGTCCATAAGATAGCCTCAGATTAAATTAATACCCTCAAACTTCAATGAAAAGAATCAAGGCTGTAAAGAGGAGTGGCGTGTTAAGGAGAGAAACTGTTAAAGGCAATAAATAATAAATAAATAATCCAAGCTATTTTTGTTAAACAGGGCGTTAAATCAGGATTTATACACTTAATTTAAAACAGTGCAATATAGCATGTATTGTTGCTCATCTGGAGTTGTATTTACCTGCTTGTAAGACATAATTAGAACGGATAATTTTGCATTTCTGATTTTAAAAAATCAGGGCGTACTTTAATTTCTTTATCACACGCCTGAATGATTAAAAAAAAAACTCAATACTTGAGCTTCAAGACTCACTCGTCACCGTCCAAGCGCTCGTCATCACTGTCCAGGAAATTGTAACACATTTCTTGTTGTTTAGGTACTTGTAGGGACATTTCCTATTGGAAGAGACAACTGTCAATCACACTACACAGAGGAAGAAGGAAAAAAAACACAACAATACACTAAAGTTGTCCTCACCCCGTCTGCCATGTTGTTCTGATGAACACTGGAGTAAAACAAGTCCGGATCCTCGTAA